CGCCATTGCTGCACTGACGAGAATGTCTCCCAAGCTTTGTCGGTGTTGTGTAGCTGGATGTATTAATCCACATAGCTCTATCTATTTACTCCCGAAATCTGAGGCGCTGAAGACGAGTGGATTCACTTTGTTTTTGAAGAAAATGCTCCCTCAACTCTACCAAACTTCGTTTATGTCTGCTCGAATCATTTTACACCGGACAGCTTTTTGAATGAGGCTCAGTATAAAGCAGGTCTTGTAAAAAAGTTGCTCCTGAAGGATGTAGCAGTGCCAACTGTTCGTAATACAGCTACACATCTAGAAGTAACGCGTCTTACACGTTTGTTTTCCAAATTGCCTTTGAATTTGTCAAGTTCATTATAACATGTTAGACTTATAAAGTTTGTGATAGCATGTGATAGCACCATGAGTCCAGCTATGTTGTTATTTTTTTAATCGCGCTGATAGTGTAATCTTTATTTGTAAAGGACAGCACATCAGAACAGAGCAGCCAAACAAGAGATATTGCTTGCCAGACAGACGCAAAAAAAGTCTGAAAAGTGGGGCAGGAGCAGCAGCTCATTAGCATTTAAAGGGAAACACATTAAAACGGTGCGTTTTTGCACAAGCCCAAATTTGGCAATTTTAAAATGCTATAAAAAATTATCTGTGGGGTATTTTGAGCTAAGACATCACATACACACTCTGAGGACATCAAATAATTGTTTTACATCTTGTGAAAAGGGGCATAAGGTCTCCTTTAAAGGTCCCCTGACATGGGGTTATTTTATTATTTTATAATGTTTCCTGGGTTGCCCTTATAATGTTACTATGTTTTTTAGATCAAAAATAGTCATAATTAAGAAATAAAAGGCATTTTTCCGAGCCTATTTTAGCCTCTGATTTGAACGCTCTGTTTGAAGGGGTGTGTCTGCTGTGGACCAGCCAGTGTAACCAGCCACTGCTGTGATTGGCTAACATGCTTGCATATGAATATGTAATAGCTACATATTACATGTGAATCTCTCTCGAATACTTTTACTACAGCTATTATACGTTTTTACTATTTACAGCTATCGAGATTAACGAATCGTGAGAAGTTTTTAAAGTATTTAGATCTATTCCCATCACATAAAATGTTGCCGTGATGAGCATTGAGCAAGCATATGACAGTCTGTTGATCGCGAGAATGAAGATCTTATCATTGCAACGCAGTTTCTGCACTCTAATGCTTTCACCAACACGATGATGTACATACATACAGTAAGAGCTTCGTGCAGTGTAACGTGCGTCATTGCTTTCATAACGAGTTGTCCAGATAAACTTGCGCTGTGTGGAAAGATTGTTCTTTGATCGCTTTCTGTATAATTTGTTCACAACTTCAATAAGATTATTTTCATCCTACTAAAAGAAACGATGTGAAGTTGATATTTTAGTCACTGGCTTGATTTATGCATAAACAGTATTGAATGATTTTGAGAGAAAGATTACCTGTCTGAACTTGAACAATAGGCTCTATGCACGGTCGCTTCCGTGTTTTGTCTCAGCCCGCCCAGTTACATCCGGTGCTGCGTCGCAAGCCGTTTTTGCATTAGGTGGAGATAATGGCAAATTACACTCGGTGTTTACAAGAACTTCCAGCGGTTAACGTGAATGACGTTAACAATATTGTGAGGCAGTTAGCTGTCACACATAAGAGTAAGAAAGAGAAGGGCATTAAATTATATATTTCAAGCTACATCGACAACTTTGAGGGTGAGTAATCTCTCATATCATGCGAAATCCGACTAGCGAATCAGTTTCTAAAATTGTTGTCTCGTTTCTGAGAAAATGAATTTTATTAAAGTTTGGCCGCTAGTAGCTACACTTCGCTATAGAACGCGCTATGCGGAGGTAAAGACACTGGCTGAGTTTCTACCGAAAATACGTCAGCAGCGTTCGTGCATAGAGCCTATTAGGCTACACATCAGAAATTGTTGCTTGGTAGCTCGATCGATTTATTTTCAGAGTCAGACGTTCATCGAAGCCAGCTCTGTATTGGCCCAAGTTGAGAAAACAGTCATTGGTGAAATGTTTGGACCACACAAAAATTTGGGAAGTTGTGTCGGCGCATTTCCAGAGAAAATAAAATTAACCCATTGTTTCTTCAGAGGCTCGGATGAAGGAACTAAAAAATACTTTTGTGTTCATTTGTACATCCGAACACTGATCAACAAGCAAGACGTGTAGAGAGTTCTTCAGGGGCAGGGGCTCAAATGTAAAAAAGGGGCATATATATATATATATATATATATATATATATATATATATATATATATATATATATATATATATATGTATATAATAGTATTATATAAGTATAATAGTATAAGTAGCCAACCGGCCAAAAGTTTGGACACTAAACTTTTAAGCATTTATTTTATTTGATCTAAAATACAGAAAAAACAGTAATATTGTGAAATATTACTACAATTTGAAATAATTGTTTTCTATTATAATATACGTATAACCTTTGATACTTTTTTCAGGATTCTTAGTTAAAAAAAAGAACAGCATCTATTTCAAATATTTTGTACCAATATACACTACCGTTCAAAAGTTTTGGGTCAGAAATTTTCTTTCTTTCTTTTAAAGAAATTAATACTTTTATTTAGCAAGGATGTGCTAAATTGATTAAAAAAAAGTGACAGTAAAGATTTAATGTTGTTCTATTTAACTTTTTATTCATCAATGAATCCTGGAAAAGGTATTTAAAAAAAAATATTAAAATAGAAGTGTCCAAATATTTGACCAGTAGTACTGTACTATTATACTATTGCTGCATAATTATCTATGAATAATTATGTTTACTGCATAATAAACGTTGTATCAATTTACATAGACAAAATACAAGTGACTTGAATAGGCTACTAGTATTACTTACTATTAATGCTACTTTTGGTACAATGGTCAATTAACATCCATTGATTTAACGACGCAGATTCAGATCGCTTCATAAATGTAAATTCGTCTGTCCATGTAATTTTCAAACGATTTATGAATGACCTGAAAATTACCGCTCAACTTCACATTGTCCAATGAAATTTGAACTTGTTGTGCCTGATGACGATTGGTCGGTGTATTATACATGACAAACAGGCTTCAATGAATTATGTAATATTTTAAAATATGTGATATGTTGATTTTTAATTGAATCGACACACTAACGTTACCTTTAATTATTGAAAAAAAAGGTTAAAAAAAAATTGCGGTCGAGCCATATAGGCCTAACGTTACTCACTGAAATAACCATATTTGGATCGAGAGCATCGGTACCCGAGCAGACTGTGGAATACCTAAGTTATACGTGTACACCAGTGCATTTTCATTTTAAAACGCATAACTTTCGCTACGGTTGCGCCTGCCGTCCACAGAGTTTTTGACCCTCGGAAACGGAGACGGACCTCTTCAGTGAGTCAAGTCCGAAGCAAGACAGTCACATGCAAGTGACGCAACCCACAGCAACGCGTTATGGCAACGACAGGGAGGGAAGGAGGGGGAGATAAACATTTTCCCGATACACATTTTCGTTTCATAGGTGCTAAATGCGAGGCCATGGTGACAGCTGAGGAAAGTCAGTGCTGCAGGGAGGTGGAAGCATACTGGGCCTTAGTGGAGAATGTCACCCCCAGACTTGATGTACAGTGCCTGACTCTGTTGAACTCCATCATATCGCCGGGATGATAATCGTCCGGTCTAAAGTGAACGCTACACACTACCGCGTTTTTCGAAGCAGATGCAGAAGTGAAGTACCATATCTTCACCTGTACAAAACGCTTCCCAGGCACGGAAGATAGCACCATCCTTTTTCTTGTTAGGAAACCTGTGGACTCGACAACCTGCAACCTCCATAAACATAATAATTTACCGTGACGACGATATATTGAAATACAATAGGCTTGTTCGACTTCATACAGCGCTGCGTAGACCAATTGCATGCCGGTTAGAAATTGTGTCCGACTTGAGACAGCGCCGATGCCACGTGACTTGACGTATGCCATCAAAGTACCACGAGAGCAATTCAAAAGCAGCCAGCTGATTCATTCTGCGATGCTTCTCCAGAGCGGCTGCACGAGCTCTGATGACGACACAACTGTTCCACGATTGGCCAGATCCACCACATGACAACTATCACGTGTGTTTCGTGTTTATTCGAACACCTTCAGTTCCACTAATGTTCACAAATCTGTTTTTATAACAGTAAAAGCTCTTTTCATGTAGTCGCGATGTAATATTGTGTCATGTTTATCAAAATAAAACTGATAAAAAACTTAGACCCACCTACATTGGTATTTCAATAGTATAGGCTTATGTTGAACATTATTCTTGTACAAACAGAGGTTGTATTTAGCAGTACATAAAGTATTAAATGGAAACGTATCTGAAACGTTTGTGTATTTGACAAATATTGCATTTATTTCACTTTAGCTGTGATAAAGTATGCAAACACCACGTGAACAGTCACTACGGGAAGCATATGTCACAGCCGATGTCGAAACACACCTAATGTGTGTCCGAAAACATACTGAATCACGACCGTTCCTACTGAACACCAACCTACTCTGCACGACCCAACACAGAGCATGGCAAACGACTCCCTCTTGTGACGTAATATGACCGATTAAAAAAAAAAAACTTTTTTAAAACCTGGTCAAGGACACTCTTTTTATACAAAATTTGTGCCCTCACGTCTTGTAAAACATTTTAAATCCTGCAACTAACTTTTCATATGGTATTTTCATACAACGTTATTCATTTTGTAAAAAAAAATCTGCAATATGCCCTTTACCTATTTTTAAAGAATTTAAGACATTTTAAGAAGGACTGCAGAAACCTTGTTAAATTTATAAAATGATTTTATTATGTGAGAAAAAAAATACTTTTACTATACTTCTATACATTTCTATTATCAGATAGTTTGTTTCTCCTCTAAATAGTTGCAATGAAATTGAAGTAACAAATCGTTTCTTCCTTTTCCTCACCTGTTCTCCAGCTCAGAAATGTCTGTTTGCAGTCTCAGATAGAATTTCTCCGCCTGGGAAAAGAGTTGTCGCAGCAGAAGGACGTTAGTGTGAGCTGTGTTTATGAGTTCCATCTCCACTTCTCCATGCACCAGCACCTGCAGCCCGTCAAGCATGTCAGACACCTCGTCCACTGTATAAGTCTCCTCTATGAGCCTTTAATATGGAAGTAGAGGGGGGGGGGGAACATTTAAAGATGGAAACTAAAGGAGAGTTCTTGCGAATACACAAACGACATAGGCTTGCATTCTCTCACCTACTGTCCTTCAAGTCTTGGAAGCAGGAGTCGATTGTCTTCAGTCTCAAGGCCCGTTTAGAGCGGGCAAAGCGCATGTAGATTATCACCTCATTCTGATGGTGCTCATTAAACCCAAAATCAGCCTATAGGGAAAGCCACAGAATATTGTATTTAAAGGGATAGTTCACCCAAAAATGAAAATTCTGTCATAATTTACTCACCCTCAAGTTGTTTCAAACCTGTATGAATTTCTTTTTTCTGTTGAACACAAAAGATTATATTTTGAAGAATGTCTGTAACCAAACAGTTGATGGGCCCCACTGACTTCCATGGTATTTTTTTTTCCTGCTATGGGAGTCAATGGGTGCTTGGGCCTGTCTGGTTACCCATATTCCTCAAAATATCTTCTGTTTGGAACAACATGAGAGTGAGTAAATTATGACAGAAGTTTCATTTTTGGGTGAACTATCCGTTTAATGGCAAACAGCTTTACAGACAAAGTTTGTGGCAGAAAACTTAGCGCCCTCTTCTGGCTGAATGACACTTTAACACCAACTCACTGTACTAAGAGCTATAAGAATATTATATCATTATAAAATTCAAACAACCTTGAAGCTGACTTACATATCGGGTTCAAAGATTTTAAAATTTACACAATTCAATGAATACACTTATCTCAAACATGCAAATTACATGTGATAAATAGTTGAATTTTCCAATTCAGTCATTTTAAGCACAGAAAATGGTTTGTTGTCTATATGTGTCTCTTATTAAAACAGAATTTAAATAAAACACTTTTACTGGTTAAATGACATTAGGGGAGTGACTACTGTTTGCTCTGGCCTATATATAACGCCTTCGCACAATTTACGCTGGTTTCTGAACAGCTTATGATTTGATATTGCTTATAATAAAGAAAATATATCAGTATTGTGTAACACTGAATTCACATTGCATTTACTGGTTGCAATGGCCTGAAAACATTACAACCTACTGGTGTCATCTCAGACTAGTATTCATTCTTTTCCCACACTTAAACTGCTTATTTTTAGATTGCATCAATTTATTACTCAGAAATAACGCGTATGCTAATAAACTGGTCAAATGTAGCCACACACATTATTTATTATCTAGTTTCCCGTCAGATTAGCTAATGTTAGCTGGCTAAGCTACTTACCATTACAGCAGGGTGATCCGGAGTTTTATCGTGACGAGTGAAAATAAACGACTCTAGAATTAAATATAGCAGCTAGTGCGTTAACATAAGGCTCGAGCATCAGAAGGCACTGTCATGAAAATAAAGTGGGAATGATGTTCACGACTGAGAGATTTGCAATGAACGGTAGCGAGAAGAGTACAGTTTTGCTTTTGAGTTGCGCTTGGAAACGGAACAGCGTTGCTGTGTTACTAATCACACTGGAGAGAGATTTGCAGACGGCAGAGGGCGCGCTGCACACGGAAATCTTTGGGCCTAAACTGATATCAAAACTGAAGCAAAACTTTTTACAAAACAAAGATTTTTGGCTTAGTTTATAGGTAATTTTGTTTAGTAGCAAAGTCCACAATTGGGGTAGGTGGGTAATTCTAACATTATTCACTGCAAATATTTTTGTTGGGTACTGTATGCCTATAATAACAGTAACCTGTTATTTTTAGAAATAAAATAAATTACTGTAATTCACCAAAAGTTTTTTTTTTTCATGTTTCAAAGGTTGTGTACGTTCCTAGTGACCAGACTGACTTATGACTGGCGAGTAATGCAAAATCTCACCTATAGTAAGTCAGGCTGGTCATTAATGTAAGCTACAACCTTTAAAACATGAAAAAAAAAAAAAACTTTGATGAATTACATTGTTAATTTAAAAAAAAATATATATATATATTGTTTACTGTACAAGCGAGATATTGACAGAAACTCACATACAATAATTCACCCTACCCACTATGTATTAAATGCACATTTCTTTTTGGGGGAAGACTGACTTGCTGTATATGAGCTTCTGTCAATATCTCGCTTGTACAGTAAACTATAAATTTTTTGGGGGGAAATTGCTGTACCTCACCTAAATTTTTTTTTTTTTCATGTTTCAAAGGTTGTAGTATGCTCCTAGTGACTCACTTACTACAGGTGAAATTGTGCCAATACCTCCCTTCACGTATTTACAGTAAACGATTTTTTTTTCATAAAAAATTACTCTAATTAACTTAAAGGGTTTTTTCATGTTCCAACGGTTGTAGTATGTTCTGACCAGACTGGCTTACTGCACGTGAATAATGCAAAATCTCACCTGTAGTAAGCCAGTCTTGTCACTAGGAACTTACTACAACCTTTTAAACATTAAAAAACCCTTTGGTGACTTACAGGTTTTTTTTCTAAAAATAGAATTGTGTACTGTACATACATTAAGATAGTCAGTCTTGTCACTAGGAATGACTACAACCTTTTAAATATGAATTAATAGTTTACTGTAAATACATGGAGGGAGGTATTGGCACAATTTAACCTGTAGTAAGTTAGTCTAGTCACTAGGAACATACTACAACCTTTGAAACATGAAAAACCCCTTTTTGTGAATTACAGTATTTTTTTTCTTTAAAATAATTGTGAATTGTTACTGAACATACATTAAGGTAGGTATTTGCAAAATCTCACCTGTAATAAGTCAGTCTGGTCACTAGGAACGTACTACAATCTTTGAAACATTGAAAAAAAACTTTTGGTGAGTTGCAGTAGGCCTATTTTTTCTAAAAATAATTGTTTACTGTACTCATATACAGTAAGTCAGTGTTCCCACAAGTCGTTAATTTGAATGAATGATTGGACGTTTATGGACTGTGAGTGGATTTTGCAGGCGGTCCCTTTAGCAGCCTCTAGGCCAGGGATAGGCAACGTCGATGCTGGAGTGCCGCTGTCCTGCAGAGTTTAGCTCCAACCCTAATTAAACACACCTGAGCAAGCTAATCAATGTCTTCAGGATTACTAATGCTAAAAACAGGCGAGTTTATATCAGGGTTGGAGCTAAACTCTGCAGGACAGCGGCACTCCAGGATCGACGTTGCCTATCCCTGCTCTAGGCGATTATGCAGGAATATCAATCCTAAAACTAACTTTACTGCCCTATTTTAGCGGACAAACGAATCTACAGCCACATCAAATGTAGCTGCTAACTAACCTAGAGCGTGTATAGATGCATCTACTCTAATGAAGAAAATATAATCAGCAGATAGCATAGCCACTACTATTTTCAACAGTGTCAGCCAATGGTGGCATAGAGACCGCCTACTGATGTTTGATTGACACCCTCTCATTAGCATGTTGCGCCAAGAAAAAGTAAATACGGAGCTACATTCAAAAATGAATAAACGGTTAAAAGGAAAAAAAGACTTTCAGTTTAGCATTTCCTTTAACATTTTTTTATAATGTTCAAAAATATAAAACGTCCAATCATTCATTCAAATGACCGATATTTGCAAAGTTATAGTGCATGCCCAGTGGGCAGACTGACTTACTGTATGAGCTTCTGCCAATATCTCACTTGTACAGTAAAGTATTATTTTTAGAAAAAAATTAACTGTTTGAAGGAAAAAAGACAACTTTCAGTTTAGCATTTCCTTTAACATGTTTTTAATTTCCCCCAATAGGCCTATTGGTTTTATTTATTTAATTGTTTATCTCCCTGCACATTTAATTATTTATATATTTATTTATGCAGGAATATGTGGATTTATGTATTTATTTATGTATTTATTTGCACATTTGTTTATTTATATATTTATCTATGTAGAATGTTGTGCATTTCTTTCTTTATTATTTATTTATTTATTTGCGTATTTATTTATTGTTTTTGCAGGTTTTGCAGGTACAACCAGTTTGCAGGTTTTGCAGGTACAACCAGTTTAAAAATAAACAGTGAGTATCCCGGTGTTTGGTGCAGTTTGCCCTGGCTATGGACTGAAATATAGTGCGAGGGCTCTTTGTCCCCAGCGGGATCCCTCGTTTAGATTTGTTTAGACATTATAAAATCATTAGTACAGCGACCACAGACGCATGAGTCTAATGTCATAGATAAGTACGTCGCCACCACAGACGTGTGAATCTAACGTCATGGATAAGTAGCCGACATCGCCTTGTGCAATTCAAATTAGGCTATACATCATCAGCAGAGCTGTAATTTAAGTAAAACAGTAACTTAATTCAAATGAGCCCCACCATAAGGCAAACTAGCAACAACTTTAAAGATGCCCTGAAGTCTAGACTGGTGTAAGCAGGTGGGTGCAGACTCCGGGGCAATGTCAGACTAGCAGGTGACCAGGGCGGAGCCGGCAGTTCAGGCGGCCATGGCAGAGACGGCCCTTCAGGCGGGCTCCCCACTGGACTCTGGAGGAGGACAGAGACTGGACATCCAGACGTGGCGTTGGCCATCCTGGAAGAGGGCTCAGGCGCGGCGGCCATCCTGGACAAGGGCTCAGGTACGGCTGCAGCCATTTTGGATGAGGGCTCAGGTGCGGCGGCGGCGGCTATCTTGGAACGAGGCTTTGGAACGGCAGCGGCCATTTGGGACGAGGCTCTGGAAGGGCGGTCTCAGCGGGACAAGACTGGAAGGACGGTCTCGGCAGGATGAGACTCTGGAAGGGCGGTCTCGGCGGGACAAGACTCTGGAAGGGTGGTCTCAGCGCGACGAGACTCTGGAAGGGCAGCGGCCATGACAGGACAAGGCTTTTGAAGGGTGGTCTCGACAGAACGAGACTCTGGAAGGGTGGTCTCGGCGGGACGAGACTCTGGAAGGGTGATCTCAACGGAACGAGACTCTGGAAAGGTGATCTCGACGGAACAAGACTCTGGAATGGCGGCGGCCATGACTGGACAAGGCTCTGGAAGGGTGGTCTCGGCGGGACGAGACTCTGGGAGGGCAGCGGCCATGACAGGACAAGGCTCTTGAAGGGTGGTCTCGACAGAACGAGACTCTGGAATGGCGGTCTCGGCGGGACGAGACTCTGGAAGGGTGATCTCAACGGGACGAGACTCTGGAAGGTTGATCTCGACGGAACAAGACTCTGGAAGGGTGGTCTTGACAGAACGAGACTCTGGAAGGGTGATCTCGACGGAACAAGACTCTGGAAGAGCGGCGGCCATAACGGTACAAGGCTCTGGAAGGGTGATCTCGACGGAACGAGACTCTGGAAGGGCGGTGGCCATGACGGGACAAGGCTCTGGAAGGGTGGTCTCGACGGAACGAGACTCTGGAAGGGTGGTCTCAACGCCCAGAAAATCACTTTGGACCCTTCATATCCAGGCTACTTCCTCTATGAACTGTTGCCATCTATTTGACACTACAGAGCCCTGAGCACCAGAACAGCCAGACACAAGAAAAGTTTCTCCCCCCAAGCCATCTATCTCATGAACAGTTAAATGTTCTCCCCACTGTGCAATAGGCCTATGTCACACTTCCTGCTTCCGGAACGCAGAGTAGGGATTCAGAACTTCCGGTCAACGGTATTTCTCGATAAGGATTTAGATTATCAGCCATAATGTCTAAACTATCCGAGGTAGACTGACCACGAGCTATGAGGTTGTGAAACGAAGGTTTTTGCTCCTGTTGAAGCTATAAGTTCGTATGAAATCAACCTTGTTTTAAGAAAAACATGTTTTATCCGCGATCTTATGAAAAAAAACTACACTACCCACAATCCTAAGCGTAGTAGCAATGTCTGCTGATTGGTCCAACTCGCTGTTACCATAGAAACGTTTACCTTACTGGCGAACGGCTAGAGCTACAACATATTATCAAAGAATTTGCTGACTTTCTATCAGAGTTAGTACTGGCTGCAGATAAAGTCCTAATTGTTGGTGCTTTTAATATACATGTAGATAATGAAAAAGATGCATTGGGATTGGCATTTAAAGATATTCTTAACTCTATTGAAGTTAGACAACACGTGTCAGGACCTACTCATTGTCGTAATCATACTCTAGATCTAATATTATCACATGGAATCAATGTTGATTCTATTGAAATACTGCAGCAGAGCGATGACATCTCAGATCATTATCTAACGTTAGTCTTGTGTAAACTTCATTTAGCCAAGGCTGCAAAGCCGACTCCGTGTTACAAATATTTTAGCCCTATCACTTCTGCCACTAAAGATTGCTTTATTAATAATCTTCCTGATCAGTTTCATCTTCTCAGCATCCCAGATAGCTTAGAAGAACTCGATATTGCGACAGAAACTTTTAACTCTCTCTTTTCCAGCACTTTAGACACAGTTGCTCTGTTGCGCTTAAAGAAGATCAAAGAAAATAGTCCAACGCCGTGGACCAAATCTCTCCGCAACCTGCCTGAAGTCACATATGACGATGTGGTTCGGATGGTAAATGAAAACTCTCAAGTGGAAACGTCAAAACTG